TAAAGAAAAATTTGATTCTATCTTAAAATCTCAAAGAAGTATTTATGACAAAGGGGGCATTGGATTTGATTATTCTAAAAAGCAAAAGACTTTTAAGACTACCTTTGTAAGAGCAAGTCAATCCTATCATCCTGGTGTTACTTGCTATTGTTGTGGTGCAAATGGACACTTTGCTTATGCTTGTCCTTTAAAAAGATTAATAGCTCAAGGTAAAATGAAACAAATTTGGGTTCCAAAAAGAACTTTAAGCACTAACCCCCATGGACCCAAGCAAATTTGGGTACCAAAAAACAAAACTTAATTTTGTTTTGTACGAAAAGTTGATGGCAAAGTCACTAAGGAAAGCAAAGTAAATCTTAAAAGGACTTATGCCTCTACAAGAATGTTGGAGTGGAAGTGCAAAGGAAATTTGTTTTTGAATGCTCCACTCATGTGCTCAAATTGGTATTATTTATTTTATTGCATTTATTCATTGAGTATAATTACTTCAATTTGTTTATATGTGTTCACTCTTTGATATATATGCTTGTTGAATATGATATCATTTGATGTGATTATTAAAATTTATGCAAATTAATGAGCTTGGCATGTTGGATCCTAATGCTTGATATGATTCTTGAAATTAATGAATTTGATTATTAGAATTTGTGCATATTGATTACTTTGATATCTGTACCTTGATTATATTCATGATATTTGATGATGCATACATTGATATATGATTAAAGTTGTATTATTTAGTAGTTGATGTCCAATTTAAACTTAGTTAAATGAAGAAATATCAAATTAAGATGCATTGTCTTCAAAACAGCCCCAAACCTTCTGTTTGTCCCAATCAAGGCCAGTAGAGCCAGCTCAACCATTTTCACAGCCGACTCCACCAAAAAACCCGAGAGTCTTCTCTCTCTAGAGTTAAGCCGGCTCCAGGACTAGAGCCGGCTCTTTGTCGCCCACCTGATGCCAACTGACTTGGTATTTCTTTAGTTTGGCTAATCTTTAGGATGGACATCTTAGGGTTATGCATGTTATGTTTTATTTGACTATGGATATGTCTTGAACCTTTTTATCTTGTTTTATGAATGGAAATGGCATCACTTGTGTTATCATGCTTTGTGAATGGTTGCTTATGATTTTGATGATAATATGCTCTTATTGAGGGGGAGCATTTTGTGCTTAAATTGCTCTTCTTAATGGTTATCATGCTTAAATGCTTTAAAGATTGATGTGCATGAATTAAGGGGGAGTTTGTTGATTATGTGCTTTTTGATGAATGACAAAAAGGGGGAGAAGAATATGCTGAATTTAATGTCATTTTCTAGAGTATCTTTGTGCTGAAACCCTGGGTAATATTGAAGTATGTATGTGCTTTCATTAATTCATTCTCAAAGTGTTTTGTCATCATCAAAAAGGGGGAGATTGTTGTACCTATGATTTTGATGAGTACAAAACACATTTGAGTGATTAATTGGGTTATTTAAGTGTGTAGTTAAGTTGCTAAAAAATTGCAAGTAAACTTGGATTGCACTAAAAATAGACCAAGAGGATTCAAAATTGTAGAGAGTCGGCTCTTAAAAGCTGCAGCCTGCTCTGGTGAAATGGAAGTGCAGAGAGCCGGCTCTTAAAGATGAAGCCGGCTCTACAGGCAAAAATTTGAAGACCGTTGTTTGGCGCACGCGGAGAAAGGACGCAAAGCAGGCTCCAACTTTGCTGCCGGCTGTGAGGGTGCATTTAATGCACAACAATCGACTCTTTTGAAGAGTATTTAATGTATTTAAAGTCGTAGTTCCAAAGCCGGCTCAAAGTTTTGCAACCGGCTCTCGAGGAAAACAAAATATGCAGGAATCCCGCAAAGCCGGCTCTGGAAGTTTAAGCCGGCTCTATAGAGCCGGCTTTAGGAAGTTAAGCCGGCTCTCCTTCTGCAACTCGACTTTTGCATCCTACAAAGCATTTAATGACCCCCAACGGCTAGTAACAGCTATTTTCGACCATGGGGCTATAAATATGGTTGGTAACAGATCTGAAGAAGTTTAGAGAGTATTGTATTGAATATCTTTACCTACCTACATGAGCTTTGACTTGAGATTTTGATCTTTGAGAGATCTTTATTTGTAATGCTCTTCTTGTGCTATTAGTGAGTGATCTTGGGGGTGTGTTGATTCCTTCAAGAGTGATCTATTGAGAGGATTTGTGGGATTTACATTGTAAAGGGGTGAGGTTTGAGAGAAATACTCATCTTGTTGTAAAAGGATTGAGTGGATCCTTTAATCCACCCTTGTTGTTGTTAGTAGAGAGTGAGGAGGAAATCCTTGGTGAGTGAAGCCAAGGTAGAGGACTAGGCTCCAAGTGGTTGGATCGAACCTCTATAAATCATTGAGCAAGCTCTTCTTCTCTACTCTCTTTAATTTTGGTTTTGTGGTTGCAAAAAGGGGAGAATTTTTGGAACTCCAATTCACCCCCCCTCTTGGAGTACATTGAGTCAACAGCCATGCCCCCCTTGAATATATTTTTTCTGATGTTTGGGGTACTGCACCCACCGCGTCTATTGATGGTTGCAAGTTTTTTATTATTTTTGTGGATTTATACAATCGATATGTTTGGTTGTATCCAATCCAAAAAAAATCAAATGTCTCAATTATCTTTCCAAAATTCAAGTCTCTCTTTGAAAATCAATTTGGGCGTAAAATAATTAACTTTTATTCCGATAAAGGTGGGGAATACGTTGTTCTTCATAATTACTTTCAACAACATGGTATTTCTTATTTCACCACCCCACCTTACACTCCAGAACTAAATGGAATTTGTGAAAGACGAAATAGATCTATTGTTGAAACTGGTTTAGCTTTACTTCACTTTAGTTCCCTTCCCACTCATTTTTGGTCCCATGCTTTTCAAACTGCAGTATACTTACTCAATCGTTTACCTACTTCTATTTTGTCTTTTACATCTCCTTTTCAAAAACTTTTCTCTATTCCACCAAATTATTTAAAACTAAAA